AGCCTCTTTAATATACGTTGTTGAGCTGGTATTTCGTTACGAGGAGTAAGTTAGAAATCAATATATCAATGAGTATTTTAGGTTCGAATTAAATGACTTAAAACTAATTAATAAAATAAATTAGACGTGTGGAATTTGATCCAGATCAAGAATCTGATCCAGAAAAAGAATTTGAACCGACATTGCTTAATACAGCAGTATATTTGATATCACTATCAATGCAAGTTTCTACATTTGCTATCAATTATCAGGTAAAATCATCACAGCAAGTTATTATTTATCAGATATTTATACATAATAATATTTAATATATAATATTATTCATTTCTATATTTTATAGGGACATCCTTTTAGAGAAAGTTTACAAGAGAATACAACATTGTATTATGGATTGTGTACAGTTGCTGCCATAGTTGTCTCTTGTGCCACAGAGTTTGTACCTGAAGTTAATAGTATGTTACAACTTGTACCTATGAGTAAAGAGGTAAATTTTTTTTAATTGATTGATAATGTTGACTAAATTATTTATTAATCAAATTATTTATTAAATTCATCAATAGTTTAAAGTTTCTCTCACAACAACTATATTGTTTAATTTTGGATTAGCGTGGCTAGTAGAATACGTTTCCAAGTTTTTATTTGGGAACAATAAACCAAAACCAATCGCACAAAGATAGATTAGACAATAAATTTTTTTTAGAATAAATAAGAACTTTTTTCTTTAAAAAATTTTATTATTCTATATATATATATATTTTACATAATTTTTTTAGATTTTTATTTAATATTGGATAATATATGGAAGGTTATAGAAATTAGAAATTTTGCATAATTTATTTGTGCGACATTCTGATTGTTTTCTATAATCCCAAATACGATTATTAACTTCAGTTTTGACAAACATTTTTATTATTATAATTTTTGTTGAACTTATTATGTATGATGGGTGCACTTTTTCTTTTCCTTAATCAAAAACAACCAATTTTTTTTTACGAATCTTTGAGAAATGTAAAAAAAAGAATTAGGGCTATGTTTTTTTTGGCAATTAACTTTCAGACAAAAAAATGAGAAAATCGAATTTATGAAAAAAACCTTACACAATTGATTGGACCAAGTTATTTTTATTGTTTCAAAAGAAGCAAAGAATTGTCGTTGAAGGTGTACTCTAAAAAGGAATCGAACCTACCTATTAACTAATAATATCAAACGACGGTATTTTGTCTTGAAACCCGACCAGAGTACTCTGTGCAATGATCAACTGATGAGTCATTTTTGTGCATGACTATAGAAGAAACCCTACAACCGTTTATTTTCATATTCAAAGGCCTCACAGATGTAACTTGGTAAGTGAGCTACCCTTTTTTATGGATTACCTCTGTGCGACTGACTGTTTGATACCTGTTTCGGCTTGACAACAAAATACTTGGGGGTGAAATTTCGAGCCTGTAATCAGCCTACCGTCGAAATTCTAGCTGGTGGAGGGTAAAAAAACGATGGATCAGATCTCTTGTAAGTGTCCACGAAAAAGAACTTCTAATATTTGAATTGTCTGGGGCACATACTCGGCTCCCAACTAGACACCCGGAAGGAAACTCGACCAGTGCGTGGTGGGTGTACTTAACAACCTTCTTGAAGAATATTATAGATTGTGTGATTTGTGCTGGCTAAGGAACTCGAGGTATTTGGATTTCAGGCCAAAGGTAAAAATTTACCCTTATGTTGGCGCAGTTTCCATCCGAAGAGTTTGAGGAGATTTCTCAAAAGTACTCTAAAGTTGTACCTAGAGTTAATTAGTCAAATAGTTTTTTTTAAAATATGAAAAAGAATACAAAGACTACGAAATTACATGATCAATTCTCTTTTTAAAAGAACAACGAGTCCCCAGCAAAAAGATCGTAACCAATAGCGATTATTATAATTTCGACAAATCCATGCTCTAGATTTATTAAAAGTCAATAATTCTGACAAAAGAATTGGTAGATACGATAATGATGACAATTGTTTTTATGATGCAATGTGTTGTTTGTTATTTAATTTATTATCATTTAATTTTTATTTTATATATTTAGGTCAAAATTACAATAATATTAGGGATGATCGCGACAGTATCTCTAATAAACTAGATGGTTAATTGCAGAAGTCAAAAAAAATCGCGATGACAACCACAACAATAATAATGATTACCAAGTAACAGAGGACACAAAAGTATAAATATAATCGTTAAATAATGATATTTAATAAAATTTTTTAGATCTCCTTTATGAAATAATTTATTATATCGTTCATGTTGGATTCCTTGCACTTTGATAGCAAAACCCTAATGTTAATAGGGAATATCAAGTTGTAGTAGTCCTTGGGGGCAGCTCAAATATGAGAAGTTCCTTATTGTCTATGTTGACAGCCTTCGGACTCAATCTGTTGTCTTTTGCCTTCCTCTAGCTGAAAGTTTCGTCGGGTAGCTGAAGATGTACTCGAAACTTCACCCGTATAACATTTGTTTTCAAGCCGAAACAAGTATCAAAACAGTCACTACACAAAGGCAATTCGCCAAAAAAGGGTGGCATACCTTTAGTATTGTGAGTATGTGTGATAAATGGGCGCGGAAAATAAAACAGCCCAAACAGCAAAATCTCGATTTTCTGAGTTAATATGCAATTATTCGCAAGGTTTAATTCTAGCCTGGGAACTATACCCATTTTGCTTGGTAAAGTTTTGAGATGATATAAAATGAATGGGCAATAAAAAATGTTACGCTGTAAAAATGTGTGCTCTGGGGATAAATAAAGAATTATCATCACTGTATATATGTATATTGCAATGATGCAAGAAGAATAAATATCATAGGAAGTCTTAATTAAACTGTATTGAAAATAATCATATGAAACTACTTATTAAAAATAAAAAAGCTTCTTTTTTTTTACTATTATTTAATATTTCTTCTTTTATTATTACACTTTGTAAAAATCAAACGCATTCGAATTGTCTTTAGCTCCTGAGTTCAAAGCACACATAGGCAGGTCAATATTGGCATGTAGAGCAACATACATACGAGTTGTGTTAACTTTATATTTTTTTCGAATTTTGACTTTGAAGTCAACCAAATATGCGTAATAATAATATTAATAATATGTTTGAGCTGTATTTAGTGTCTGAGTTTGAAACACACATAGGCTGGTCAATATTGGTACGTAAAACGACTTTTAGGTTTAAGTACAGATGTTTTGTAAGTTTTAATTTTAAAAGTTTTTAAAAGTGATAAAAATAGTAAACAAAGAAAAGGAAGAATGAATCAATCACTAAAGTTTGATGATGAATTTTTGCTGATGTTAAAGTTGTTCTTTAAATAATGCAATTTTTTATCAATCCTATTACTGCGGGGAAATTTTAAAAGGGCACAGGAAAATGTTTGTTATACACGCCATTCTATTCATTAAAACATCAAGTCAAGCTTTAAATTTTAAATTTTTATATAATGTCACATAATAAATTATTATCACCAGAAAGAGTGGGATTTGTATTAAAAATTGATATTGAAATGCACAATAATACAATGGCTAATCCTGATGAAAAAAGTAAAAAAGATTGTTTTTTTTCATTAGTTGAAAAAAACAAGGAGCTTTCTGAAAATGAAAAAGAATTTTGTAAAGAAAAGTTTATTTATGATTTTGAATTAGTAAATGCAAAAGACAAATCAGGCAAACCAAAAAAATGTAACAAATGTAAATTGATAAGATATTCTGATAGATTCTGTGAAGGTTGTACAGTCCCCGGTGAAAAGAATGGCGGACACATTTTTTAAAGGTACGTAAAATTTTCATTATTAATTTAATATTATTTTTTTATTATTTAAAGTATGATACTAACACAACATTTTTTATTATATGATTAATATTTTGTATGGCCTCCTTGTGCATCGATGCATGCTTGAATTCGGTTTGGCATGCTTTCAATGCACTGAAGTAACACATTATTGTCAAGATCGTCCCATTCCTGCCGGATTATGGTAAGAAAAATCTCTTGTGAGATTTTTTTATTTTTTGCCACTAAATTCTTGACCTTTCTCTCTACTTTTCTCTTTAAAATGGCCCATACATTCTCAATAGGATTCAGGTCCGGGCTGTATGAAGGCCAAGAAAGAACCCGTCTTGGAAGACGTTCTTCCAAGTCACGCCGAACATCTCGTGAGGTGTGTTTTGGGTCATTGTCTTGCTGAAAGACCCAGTTACGGCCATGTAACATGTTTGCATTGTCGTATAAATGATTGTCAAGAATTCTCCAGTACAAATGACGATCCAAATTTTCTGTGAACAGATGAATTCCGATTTTTCCTTTGACACTAATCGCCGCCCAAACGTGAACTTTGAACGGATGTTTTACCATAGGAGCGACAGGTTGTGCATTACGAGACCATGCATTAATTGTGTTGCTAAACATCTGGAGTGTTGTTTCATCAGAAAAAACAACTTTCCTCCAGTTGTAGTGCCAATGTTCACGTGCCCAAGACAAGCGAACGTCCTTTGCTCTCTGGGTCAAGAGAGGCACTTTTTGTGGAAGAATTGAAACGTAACCGAGATTTTTTAGCTCACAACGAACTGTACGTTCACTGACCTCGAGCTCAGGGTCATTTTCTTCCAGTTTAGCCTTAAGTTCGCCTGCTGTCGTGAAGTGGTTGTGTTTCAAAATTTTTCCAATATGGCGGTGTTTCTTGGGGGACAACTTTCTTGGGCGACTAGGTGAGTGATTTATAGAGTTATTGCCAGTTTTACATAATTTACTGACATATCATTCACAGGAGCGTAAAGGGATATTCAATCGTTCGGAAATTTCTTTTGCATTACGCACGTTTTGTTGCCAAAGTGACTTAACGGCGTTTCACTGGATTTCAAGTGGACTTGGCATTTTTTAGTGGGCAAAAACGAAATGTAAACAATAACAAACCTAATTGTTTACAACTTACTTATTAAATAAACAATACATTGTCCAATTTGGTAATATAAACAATGGCCCGATTCGGAAAAATGGTGATGTTGCGGCCAAAAATAGATGCGGTATCTCCACCGCCATTCTTTTCGCCGGGGACTGTATTAGTTTACAACTACAGAGTCTTTTCACCACCTGGACATCTGGAAATAACATAATTGATGATTTTATTCAACAATGTCAAATGAAATCATCTTTGCCAGGTTATACTTTAGAATGGATACCTTTTGAGCAATTTGAAAAAGTAACAAAGTTAACTGAAGGTGGATTTAGTTCAATTTATACTGCTACATGGACAAGAGGAGTTATTGTTGACTATGATGAAAATAAAAAGGAATTTAATTATTTAGGAAGGCAACTAGTAGTATTAAAAAGTTTAAATAATTCAATTAACCCAGGAAAAGGCTTTTTTGATGAGGTTGGTAGTTGTCATTAAAACAGTATTTTTGTGTATACTGTATTATATGGGGCATGCTGCAATAAAACCAGACAAAGTGAACATTAGTGTTACCAAGAATTACAGGGACCAATATTGTTTGTTTAACATCACAATTGTATCACAATATAATGTGATCATGATATTTGTCTAGACAAAAATAGTTAATATGAAGCTAATTTACATTAGGTCTACCATGGAACCCAAGAATTATAGTACTATCAGAAGTATTTTGAAAAAAGAACAAGGTGAAAAAATTGCTCCCTACATTTTCAAAATAAATGACACTCAAACACTGGAAGTTTATCTAAGAAAAGAAAGGATTACTTATGAAATTTACCATGAAGAAAAAAAATTCATAAGTGTTAGAAAAAGAAAACATTATGATGATGTATTATTACCTAATAAAAAGCAAAAATCTTTAAAAGGAAAATAACTATCATTTTCTTTGATAGTTAGAATTATACAGAGGGAAATACCTAAAATTACTTTCTTATTTTCAATCAAGGTCATTTCTTAGTTTCTTTAATTTCAATTTGTGCAGTTAATTGACCATTCTGTTGTTGTAATTGGGTTAATTGAGCTTTTAAATCATTGATTTCTTTTAATAATTCTTGTGGAGTTAATTCTTTTAGTTGTTTGTTTTCTTCTTCTAGTTGCTTAATTCGATCTAATAGTTCCTGTTTCTGTCTTTTATGCCAATCTTCAGCCACTTCTAAGGCTTCCAAGTGTGTATCTACTTCCTCTTCTAACTGTCTTTCCTTTTCTTGCAAGTCATTTATTTGCTGTTCATAAAAAAGTGCCATTCCTCCATTTTGATGAGGTAAAAGAGGAAGTTCTTTTTCATTTTCCTCTTCTTTGCAATCACAAGTATATCTAGTCTTTAACCTTCCACAATCACACTTAGGCAATTTATCATTTTCAAACTTCTCTTTACAGTTTTCACAAGCCTTATCACTTTCAACCATTTCACCAGTTGCTTTGCTTCGCGTTCTGATTTGACAAACTGCTTTTTTCAAACCAGGGCAGAAAACACAAGTAGAATTACTGCTGTGTCATTCTTCTAAATCTAAGATTGTGTAAAGCAGTTCTCTCATGACTACTTAACTAGAACTTCTATTTTAGCAACAATTGCTTGACTGTGAAACTTCTCTCTTTTGATTAATTTCTGCAACTGCTGAACCTTGGCTTTTGTTTTTGTTTTTAATTGCTTGAAAATGCTTTGTTTATTTAAAGTCCTACTTTCTACTTCTTTAGGAAGAGAGGGTAAGGGTTTTCTTTCCAAATATAGTTGTGTTTTTAATTCTTCTCTTTCTTTTGCTTCATCCTCAAATCTCTGATCATTCTTTCTTAACATTTCTAATTTTTGGGCTAATTCTTCTTGCAACTTTGCATTCTTTGTTGTTTCCTCTTCAAGCATTTTGATTTCATCATTCAAAAGACCTTTTTGTCAATTTTTTCATTCTTCAGCTGTATCTAACGCCTCAGCAAAGTCTTTAGCATCTTTTTCCCATTTTTCAATAACTTCAATAGCAACTTCAACTGGTTTATCTTCATTTTCATTTATTAACTCTTTTAAATCTTTTTTGTGCCAATAATCTCAATCATTTTTTTCTTCTTGTTGCTCTTCCTTAAGGTAAGTATTGAGAGTTTTAGCCATATTTTCTTTTACATTTTCAGTCTTTTATATATACAGTCACACAACTCCTATATAGTCACAAAATTTTATATTCAACTCACGTGATTTTCAAATCGGTGATTTCTAAATAAAATTCTTCAGTCCCAAGGTGTGACTATATAGGAGTCTGTCTGTATCTTTTCATTGTTGATTAATGGATTATTATTATCGTGTTTTTTTTAAAATCTAATAAGTTACATTTAATATTGATGGACCTCCAAATATACCCGAATTATTTCCTGAATTAAAAAATCCTTATCCTGAAGGTGATGAGCTTTTAAAGAATAAATTAGCGGAAATTTTTGGGTCACAAAATCATAGTTATCATTGTCGGAAACCTATAACCAGCACCACTGTTTCTGCTACTGCTACCACGACAACAACCACCAAACAAGATATTCAAAAAGAATGGCACAAGTGGGTGGAATTAAGAGACATGGCCAGTGAGTTTATGAGTGAAGAAACTCTTCAAAAATACAGATACTCGCAAGATCAAATGGATTATCATTACACGAATAATATTGAAATCATCTTTTCAAAGAAAAAAAAATCATCAAGTAGTCCAAAGATAGATATCTAGCATATTAAAATTTGATTGATCGACTGTTTATTTTTATATCTATAAAACTTCATTTCAATTTATCTGCGCAATTATTATTAATCTAATGGTATTATTGAAAGCTTCGCTGGTAGAACAATGTCAAATTGGCATTGACTATCTGGTTTCGACCTGACTACTAACCGATTGATATTTATTTATATATTCCGATTTGTTTCAATTTATGGCATCATTCGATAACCAATTGACATCAATTGCACAGAAATTCAAAGTCTAATTGGATGCCTCTTGGACAACTAATGATTAAAATATTCTCATTTGGTAATAAATCAATTCTATATTTTTATTTCCAATCGGTATGCTATAATGAACATCTGATTGAACTTTTGTACTGATTCCTATCAAATTTGTCTAAAGAAACAATTTTTTAGATGAGCAAACCTTGAATATTATACGATCATAATAGTGATTTTCATTTAAATTATATGTTATTTGTTTTTGTTAATGTCATTTCCATGATGCATAAAGATTGTTATTTTGATTATTGAAATAAATAAATCAATCACAAAGGAACTTTATAAAAACCTTTGAGCTTTGTAAAAAAGGCAGCAAGTAAGCAAGAACCAAAGTAGTTCGTAAACTAATTAATTGACAAGTACCGAATTAACTAAAAAGAGTAGCCCAAAAATTAAGCTGTAATTAAAAAGCTACCTTGCAATATCACCATTTAACAAGAATCAGTAAACTTTATTATCATAATTTTGAAATAAAAATGAAATAAAATAAATAATTATAATGAATAAATTTATAGTGGGATTAAATTAGTCACCCATCGATTCTTTCTTTCAATTACTAGAATCTAACATTTATTAAATAAAAAAATATTGTTAGTAATAATTAACGGATAGTAATTCAATCAATTAATAATGAAATTTTTATTCACCTTCAGTATTTAAGAGAAAAGAGTTAAAATCGATATCATTCAATGAACTATCATTACTTGTATAACTCTTAAGGCTTTTTGATTTAGCAATCTCTTCATCCAAGATTCTACTTTTATGATATGCGTCTGGATGTGGTTTGTGTACTTGTTGTGAAATAACACTGCCACCACCACCACCACCACCACTGCTGCTGCTGCTGCCATCATTACCACGAATTTCTTCCGATTTATTATAGGCAAAATAAAGCAGCTCTTCACTAGTTGGCCTTTTTGATGGATCCACATCCCAACACCGCTGCACCATTTGTGCATAATCGTCAGGCATTCCAGGTAATATTGGTGGTCGTAAACCTTCTGCACATATATCAAAAATTAAACGATGGTTGTGAGCCCTGTAATCAAATGGTGGATGACCTGCAAATATTTCCCACATTAACATCCCAACACTATAAACATCAGATTCTTTTGTATTCTTTGCATTCTTTTTGCCTCTAAGTAGCTCGGGTGCAACATATGATACAATTCCATAGACTTTATCTGATGATTTTTCATCAACTGGTCCACATAATCCCAAATCTGTAATATAACAAACACCTCCTCCTTCCATAAGTATATTACCACTATGTAAATCACAATGGATTAAACCTTTTTCATGTATATCATATAATGAACCACATAAATACATAAAGATTGTAATCTTATCTTTTAATATTAAATGATTTTTTTGCAAATAACCCCTTAAACTTCCTTCTGGTTTATAATTTAAAATTATTGAATAATTTCCATTATCTGAGAATTTAGTTATACCATAGCATTCCACCATCATTTGTGATTTAATTTTACAATAATTCATTGCCTGAAATTGAATATAAAATCAATTAATATTATATGGGGCATGCTGCAACAAAACCAGACAAAGTGAACATTTTGTATTTTAGGGCTTGACATTTTCATTGTACTGCCAGTATAGTTAACAGGGTCCTTTGTTTCTGTTATCTGTTATTACCATAATGAACATTTTTGTTTTTTTTAAACTGTTTTCAAGGCCAACAGTTTGGTCTGTCTTTAATTAGACCAAAATAGAAAGGACAAGACAGACTATTTTAAATTCTTACACTTTGGAAAGTGTTATTGGTTTATTGGCCATTGGTAATCCAGATTTTTGAATAGATTTAAACCAGCATGTTTGCCAACTAAGGTTGCAGGCAAAACCTCTTAGTGACTCTGTCAAAACTCTAATAAACAATTAATGTGTGACCTGTCGATTGTCAAACCCCCCCAAAATGTGAAACTCTGTCGAAACTCTAATAAACAATTAATGTGTAACCTGTCGAAACTGTCAATTGATTTCTGGAAGAGTTTTGCCCGCAACCTTATTGCCAACTTGCTAGCATTTTGTCATGTCATCTTTCCTGGATAATGGAGGATATTAGAATAGTTGCTGAAATGCCAAATAGTTTCTCATAGTAGCCGAAATTATTTTCTTTACATTGAATGGTATAGTTTTTAATGTAGATTTATATGAAAAACATTCTGTGCTGAAGTTACTTTTTTTTTAAAAACAATTTTGGTGCCATATTTAGTCTCTAATGTTCCAAAGGAAAATCAGATTGCATTATCTATTATCAAGGAAAAAATATTAATACAAGAAAAAATAAAAATAATTTTTTAATTCATTTTCTTTGTTGAAAAGAAGAGACAGGGCAATAGAAATATTATATATTAAAAAAAAAAGGGATATAATTTTTATTCAATTTGAAAAAAATAATTTGATTTATTATTTCTTTGTTCACTTTACTTGATTTTTGTTTAAAAATTTGCTTCTTTGATAATAATAACTTTCATCACTTTTTTTTTTTTTTTGAAAAAAAAGAAGAGCTTAGTTATTGAATTTGCAATGTAAGGATTTTTGTTCCATCAATATGATATATGAATATAAATAAAGAACTAATTGGAATTTCAAGCATCAAAAGAGGGATTAATTCAACAACAAACCATATATTCTAATTCATTGAACACTTCCAAACATACTGAACCTTTGACGAATTCTGAGAAAATATGGGTAAAATTCTTATAGCATTAAATGAATAAACAGATAAATAAATAAATTTATTTATTTACTAACATATTAATTATTATTAGCATCAAAATGATGACAAAATCCGTATGACAAATGTTTTGAAACGAAAATATGCAGAAAAAAATCTGACATTGTCATCAAAAATTGCTTTACCTAAAGAGGTGCGAAATTATAAATAAATAAAATATAATTATTGTTATATCAAGTAACGGTTTATTAAAAAAAATTTTTTACCCTTCAGGACCAAATAATTATAATAGATGATGATGAGGAAGAGGAAATTAATAATAAACTAGTAAAATCAAATAACAGTTTATTGACTCCTTTTATCAGTACTTGTTCTTTTTCTACTGCTGCAACCATTAAAAATCCTGTAATTAATTCAAATAATCTTGCATATACAGCTACTGGATCTTCTTCAAAACAGGTGATTATTATTTATATCAAGCAAATAATGAATTTATTTCAAGTTTTATATGACAATTTATCATTCTAATTTTCAATTTAGAATAACAATGCAGTAAACATTGATAAATCTCAAACTGACACTCAACAAAGCCATTCCAAAAAATTAACATCACCACAATTACCTAATAATAATCAATTAGTTGGAAACAATAATTCAAGTCAAGTAGCCATCAATAGGATATATTCAAATGCAAACGATATTTTACATAAGAACAATTCTCACCAATCACTGCGGATTCTTCCACAGCAGATAATATATAATAAAAATGATAATAAAAACAATTCTCTAGTTATTAATATTGCTGCTAGTATTAACAACAACAACAACAACAACAACAACAATAACAACAACAATAACAACAACAATAATATGAAGAACATTACTATTAGCGATAATAATATTGACAAATCTATCTATACTAATGAATATCATAAAATTAATAAATTGACAAAACCCAATGTTTCATCAATAGCACCATCATTATTTTCTTCTTCATTACAAAACTCTTCAATTGATTCTCAAAGTTCGCAATCTATTCAGTTTCAAACAAAAAATCAATTGTCTCAAAATAAGCAGCAATCTATTCCAAATATTAATTCTAGCTTACAAACTATTGCTGAAAAAAATGTACAAGAATCTTTTCACTCAGAAAAATCAACATCCTCATTGTCTACGGTAAGCAAATTTTTTGACCCTACATAGTAAAATAGAAATCATCATCATCATCATCATCAATTAATTTGTTTATTTATCAAATTATTTAGTCAAATCAAACCATTATAGTAAATTATGAGAAATTAAAAAAAGAACATCAACAGTTACAAGGATTAATTAAAACAGTAAAAAATGAAAATGAAGGATTAAAAATTAAGAATGAATTTAACGAACAAAGAGTCAAAAAAATTGAAGAATTATTAGAATATACTAAAGGACAATTAAATATTTTACAAGAACAGAATAAAAGATCTGATGATAAGCTAAGAAGTGCTTGGGCAGATTTATTAGCCAATAAAGCAAAATTGCGTGGCGAGGCAGATGCTGAGGAGACTAACAATGAAACTTATCTGACAAGAACTCGAAAGAAGTTAAACGCAAAACAAAAAGTAAATAATAATAATTTAAACGAATTCAATATAATTACGAAGGGATTGGTTTGTGAATGGGAATCCTGTAATAAAGTTTATAGAACACGTAATCACTTAAAAGCTCACATGATTGCGATGCATTTAGGTGATGTATTAGATGTTAAAATTAAGAAATAAAATGGTCTTTCTTAAATTTGAGAAAGAAAAAAAAATAAAATGACAATTATGAATATTTTTATTGATTGTGTAATCAATTATTGTAGCAAAATCATTAAAATTCTGATGCTTGTCATCATTCCTATTGTGATTAAAGGTGGCTCCTCAATAGTTGCAGTTGCGGTATATGAAAATTGAATTTCAGCTACCTTCTCTTTAAATCCAGTAGAAATCATTGTAATAAATTTCATGAACTTTGCTGGTATAAATTCAGTATATCATTTTCATGGAGTTGCACTAGCTATACATACGCTTTGAGAGTTCTATTTTAGGTAATTGATTTTTGTTAAATGTCATTGATATATATAGCAGTGGATGAGGCTCAAACAAATAACTTTTACCCGTCCCAATGAATAAGTTGAGGTCAATAGCCACCAAAGAGCTATGGGTGCAAACATATGAGAACACTCAACGGTTATATCAATAATATGAAAAATGTCATATTAACAAAACAAGCGCAATACGCTTATTTATTTTACACACGACATATTTGATGCCATATGTCATAGCTGTCTGATTGGGATGTTATAATTTTCCATTTTATAGACGAATTTATTAATTACATAAACTGTTATAAATTCTTAATTCTGAAAAGTGATTTGAGCTTGCAGAACATGTCTATAATATAATTGCTATATACAGTGTGTTACAAAAAAAATTGGCCAGGAAAAATTCGCAATTATTCAATAATGAATATATCAATTCTAATTTAGT